CAATTTGCTGTATTGAGGTAACTATGCCACTGGTCTGTCAAATGTCATAATGGTTATCCATGTTGGACAGTGTTAGGTGTAGATCCTGGATTAACATAGATTTCAAATCGGGTTTGGCATCCACTTTCTAAACAACATGCCTCAGGAAGGAAACTGTATGAACTTAGAGAAACTACAATAGTTATAGAACAGGGTTCGGGTCTTTTCTTCATAGGGTTCTATGGGTTGTGCTTGACTCGATGGCACTCAACAACAACTTTTTTTTTTCATTTTTAACTGAGTTTTTAACTTAGAGTTCTCAAATTATGATCAGCAGACAGCAGCGTCAACACTACTTGGAAACGTGTTAGAGACTTATAACCTTAGGTTTTACCTTAGATCTACTGCAGGTGTAGCAATTTGTAGTTAGACACCCCTCCAGGAGATTTTGATTTACTATTAAGCTTGTGAACTACTGGTCAACTTTTTTATGGGGCAACAATGTCCCCCAGTGACCAAAACTACATTAGTTTCCTGGGTTTTGGTGGGTTTTTTTTTTAAACCTAATGTTTGTATATAATATTTAACTTAATTATTACCAGTGATTTTAACTATTTTTTAGTGAAGATTAAACTCACTTGGTTACCAAATTCTAAAGTGTAAAATCTTTTCTACTTATAACGTTATATTTCTGCTTCACCTATGTTGTTGTTTGTTGTGTACTGAAGAGTTGGAACCCAAGCTATACCTTATCCTCAGGCGGGTTCTCAGAGGCAGTTAATCACATGGGAGGAGATTGATTACCTGTCTTTCTCGCCTGAGGTTCTCAGAGGCAGTTAATCACATGGGAGGAGATTAACTGTCTTTCTCCAGAGGAGCAGTTGGTGGATTTGAACCCCACATTTTCTGAATTGCAGTACAGCTTCTTACCTCTAACCCACCATTTTTCCAATTCATACCTATATAATTAAACATGTCTAGTTGGAAGCTGAACCTGGAGAGAGGATGAGAGACACACAAGTGTTGAGGACTCTCCTTCATAGGGTCGCTGTGAGTCTCCTGCGACTCAACAGAACTTAACAACAGTAACATCAACATAGAGAGTGATCAGCTGGCCCAGTGGACTGAAAGCGATGCAACCAAGCCAAAGGTTTTATTGTTTTTATGTGCCATCGAGTCGCTTGTGACTCATAGCGACGCTATGTACAAGAGCTCTAACTGCTGTTCTATCCTGTGCCAACCTAGCCATCTCAAACACACTCTTTCCCACCACTCCAGTCACAGAATCGATCCATCTCATCGAAGGTCTTCCTCTCTTTCGCCGCCTCTCCACTCTGCCAAACATGATGTCCCTCCTTACAACATGCCCAAAGTATGTCAGACAAAGCTTCACAGTACCCAACAACAATAATGTCTAGAACAATGTCAGTTTAAGAACTAAGAGTGTTGAATATACCAAGGTGAAGCTCATTGCCTCACTGGTACTTCCCTGGATCCTCAAGTCCTACAAGGTACTTAACTCACTGTTTTGATTTAACAAATGTATTCTTTTACAAGAGGGTCCTAAAGCTTTCTAAAGGATTGTCTAATAGAATTTTCTGTGATCACAGACATCTATAAGTGACTAGTAAAAGTGACGAATTTAACTTTTAACATTATTTCATTTTAATTTAAATAGCATCAAGAGACTAGCGTCTACTTTATAAGACAGTGCAGTTCCAAAGCAATTTGTGTCCATCCAACTACAAAAGCAAAAATAACTATGTACTTGGAGCAAGAAGAATGAGAATCCAGAAGGGCATTTGGAAATACAGCCACTCCTCCCCCAGGCACACTACCCATTCCTGTTTAGTCAATTCTGACTCCTAGTAGGGAGCTCTGGTGACCTAGTAGGAAGGAGCTGTGCTGCCAACCCAAAGGTACACAGTTCAAATCTGCCAACAGGTCAAAGATAGGCAATCTGCTATCATGCAATTACACTGCCTCTGAAAACCTGCCACAGGATGAGCTATGAGTTGGTTCTGACTCCATGGCACAACAACAACAGTGATCCTCCTTCCGGTTTCCAAAGCTAAATCTTTACCAAAGGAGACTGTCCATCTTTCATTCTCTAGGCTGCTGAACCAGTGATTTTTTTCCCCCAGCAGTCCAGCAAATAACATGCTACACTATCAGAGCTCTAAAATTATCTTTTAGAACTTTTAGTATTATCAGGTTTTTGGTTTTTTTAAAAAATTAATTTTATGGGGGGTGTCGGGAGAGGGCTGGGCGGGTAGAGAAGTGCAGCAATGAATGAATGGAAATCCAAATTCTCTGTAAATGTTCATTAAAATTATTTTTTAAAAATTAATTTTAATGAAAGTTTACAGAGACTTAGGGTTTCCAGTCATTCATTGGTGCACTTTTCTCCCTACACATCCCCTCCCCCAAAATTCACTCTCATTGTACTTTTAAATGTTCACTTGACATTTTTTAAAAAATGAAGATGCAAGGAGAAAGCATACACTACCACAAACTAACATGCTGCTATAAATGGATTTATGAACAAAAGTTCCAGGGCATAAATCCCAGCAGTTTTCATTTCGAGAATCCATAGAGCTGGTGAAAGGATCCATAGAGTCCTTCACTACGGAGACTTGAATCTTTTTTTCAGTTTGAGAGATACTGAACGGTCTCTTCCTTTTTGTTTCTTAACTCCAGAACTTTGCACATTTCAGTATAATACTTTATTTTGTCTTCTAGAGTTCCTTTTTAAAATCTACTCCATCATTTCTTCCAACTTTTTTAGGTACACTCAGAGGAGCTCTGGTGGTTAAATCGATAGTAACACTACACACCCGAAGGTGGCACCTTTCTGGCAATTGGAATCTACTAACAGCTCTGAATGAGAAAGATGGGCAACCTCCTTCTGTGTGATTGACAGTCTTTGAAAACACACTGGAAGGTCAGCTATGAGTCTTTTCTGACTCAATGGGAATGACATTTTTTTTTGCTGAATGCTCTTCAAAACGAAATGAATGAAAAATATTGCTTTGCCTTGGAGCCTGGCTTAAAGGCTGTGCTGTCTCTTAACACTGTCACAAGTTCTGACTCATGGTAACCTTCTTTATTGTCTTTGAGTTGATTGTAACTCATGTATTACAGAGCAAGACCGTGTATTACAGTAGGTCCGTGTATTACAGAGCAGAACTGTCCTATTTCTTAGGTTTGATCTTGCTCGAAATGCCTGGCTGTTAATACAAAAGGGTCAATGGCTTGAGTACAACAGCTGCTTCAGTGGAGAAAAGTAGGGAGTCTCCTCTAAAAATTGCACATTCAAACTATAATCCACTCAGTCCAATCAGATCAACTTATAGTTGACCCTCCAGTGGATTTTCAGAGTGTGTAAACAGCAGAAGAGGAGATTGCCTATCTCTGGCAGAACAGCTGTTAAATTCTAATCACCAGAGAAACTGCCTTTGAGTGAGCTGAGCAACTCCTTAAGGACTTGGCACCAGAAGGATTGCTGAGTTTTAATGCTCTCAGGGCAGTGGGTTAATCTCACAGATCACCAGGTTACTTCCACCCCCCACCCCCAATCTTGCTGCTGGGTAGAAACCAACCAACAGTTTATAGGTATCCTGAAGAGGGTTAAACCGGACTGCTACTTGGAGGCAGGGATTCTGAGGCTTCGTCTGACATGCTTTGGTCATGTTGTAAGAAGAGACCGGTCCTTGGAGAAGGACATCATGCTTGGGAGGGTGGAGGGCAGGTGCAGGAGGGGAAGGCCCTCTAGGAGATGTATTGATTCAGTGACTGGGGTAATCGGGATGAGTGTGTCGGAGACAGTGCGATTGGCACAGGACAGAACAGAGTTTAGGGCTGTACATAGGGTCACTAGGAGTCACAAGCGACTCGACGGCACATAACAACAACAACAATCCGGCACAGGTCAGTCTCCCCAGGGACCTTGTGCATAATCTGCTGGCAGAAAAAGACACAAAAGTTAATGTTTGTTGAGTCCCTGAGAAACTCCAATATAGCTAAAGTAAGCTAAACATTTATTAACTAAGGCAAGATATTGCTAAAACTAAAGATAGAAATTTCGTAACCATGTAAAAGATACTTAAATAATTTCCACTATTTTTCAATCTCTTTAAGAGCAAAGAGGACCATCATAGTCCTATTCTCTAAGATAAAGACATCAATCTCCAGCTGACGCTGCCTGACAGGAACATTATTGAGAAAGGGTTTGTTTTGTTTTAAAACCAGCAGCAATGCAACAACAACAAAACCACAACTTTGTTTACTGCATTTGCAGATCGGTTAAAAACGGGCTTATTTTATATGTATACCAACTTCAAGTAGGGGATTGCAGCAGTTTCTGCAAAAAAAATGAGCTCCCAAAGCTCATTTTTTAAGAACTTGTGATTATTCCCCTTGCGCCACCTTGTGGCCATAATGCAATGATTACACGTGAAAAGTTGGAGGATTTCCCACGCGCTGGCAAAGCCTGCAGATACCTGCAATGCGGAAAGCAGTAATTGGCTAGGGCACAAATAACAGAAAATGGTCTTTCTTTGCAGTCTGAGAAAGAGTAGGAAGTGAGAAAAAAAAGCAAAGATATCTGATCTTTTCCCACAGCCTCGTCCACTTCCTTTATTCCTTAGTCGCCCACCGACCTTCCCCAAAGTCCATTTTTCCAACGGCCACGTCCAGCCCCACTATCTGGTAGCATCCCTTCCCAGCCGGAATCCTCGGCGGCGCCCTCCCAACCCTCCCTCGGGATCCCTCCTCTTCGCCCGGCACCTCCCACAATCTCTGCCACAAGGCTCCGCCCTGCTGCCAACAGCCAATGGCAGCGCTAATCTTCCCCGCCCTCCTACCACCAGCCAATGGCAGCACGTCCTGTCCCGCCCCTCTCACCAAGTCCCGGCGCACAAGGCGAGTTTGGGCCTCCACGGGCCTTCCACCTGGTGCTGTCCTGCGCGATTGTGGGGATCGCTCGGCCTTGGGCTCCACCGCCCAGTCTGCGGGCAGCCATGGACTCAGAGGGGCTCAAGGTGAGACGCCCGGCGGGCATCCGCGGCCTACTGCGGTTTGCTTTGGGGGTTGCGTCGGGTGGGGTGTGGAGAGGGCTGCGTGGATTTAGCGGGCCCAGTACTACTCTGGGGGGGTCTTTGGCGTTTGAGGGGGGGCTTGGCTCGACCGGTGTCACCCGACCTGGGTTGCGGGCCTATCGCCTGCTTTCCTCGGCTGCTCGTCCAGACCGGCCTGTGGAGTCGCGACATCCAGACTGCGATCCCACAGCCGCTGGCCCAAAATACCACCTGGTCCACCTTGTGTTTAACTTTTGCGGAGCATTTGTAGAAAAACTCGACTAACACACGGCATTGCCACTCAGGGTGCAATTTTGAAGGACTTATATAGCAAACTAGTTCCTCCTTCCCATTTCATAGTAAAAGAAACAAGGAATTTATATTTTAAAACAATGTGAGACTTCAAAGGGAGGAGCAATATTGGATTGGCCAAGTAAACACGGATTGACTTCTTGTTCCTTACTAATCCGTGGGGGGGAAATTTACGTTTCTTCACTACAACAGAGATTCTATCGATCTGTCACTCCCCACCTCATAACACTTTACTACAGAATCAAAGGCTCTTTCCAAATTTACAATCCCTGATGAGGATGACACACCCAGTTAATTTATTTGTCATATTTATTAATCTGTTGTGAGCCATTTAATAGAGTTTTTCACCAGATAAAGTAACCCCGAGTGGTCTTTCATCACTTAACACTGATACAGCCATTCAACAAGTAAAAATGCAGGTCTGCAAAACAAACCTAGACCAAGAAGCTGTCGTAGGAACACAGCGAGGGAAGATTTCCATGATTTAAAATCATGGACAATGTGTGTCAGGATTGTGTGCATTCACCTTACCTATTCAGTCTGTACACTGAGCAAATCATTTAAGAAACTGGACACTGAAGAAGAATGTGGCATCAGGATTGGAGGAAGACTCACAACCTTGCTTGCTTGCTGAAAGGAAATGGAGTCTTGAAATGCTTGCTGTAGAAGATCAAAGACTACAGGCTTCAACATAGATTGCATCTCAACATCAAGAAGACAAAAAGCCTCACCACTGGACCAGTAGACAGACATCATGATAGCTGAAGAAAAGATTGAAGTTGCCAGTGATTTCCTCTTCCTCAGATCCATAATCAGTTATCATGGTACCAGCAGTCAGGAGATCAGGAGATGTATTCCATTGAACAAGTCTGCAGTCAGGGATCTCTTTCAGTTACTAAAGAGCAATGATGTCAGTCTAGAGACTAAGGTGTGCCTGATGCAGGCCATGGTCTTTTCAATTGCTTGCTTTGCATCAGAGACCTGAACAGTGACTAAGCATAATGAAAGAAAAATCAGTGTCTTTGAGTTTGTGGTGCTGAAGAAGAATATTGAACATACCACAGACTACCTAGAAAACAAAAAGTTCTATCCTGGAGAGAGTGAGGCCAGGATGTTCCATGGAGGGAAGGCTTTTTAAATTCTTTCTGATGTACTTTGATCATGTTGCCAAGAGGGACCAGTTCTTGGAGAGGAACATCATGCTTGAATGGATAGGGGGTCAGGGCAGGAGAAGAAGACCCTGGATTAGGTGGGATGACAGTGACTGTGGCATTGGAGTCAAGTGTGTCAGAAACAGTGAGATTGTCTCAAGATAGAGCAAGGTTGACAGCTATTGTTCATAGGGTCTCTATGAGTCATAGTTAAATAAATGGCACATAACAACCACTGCCATATTATCTGGTGTTATCCTGGGCACTAAAATGAACTGCAAAAACAAAACAAAACTATTTTAGTCTTGGAGCTTGTGTTTGAATAGAAGGAATCTGACAAGAGCCAAAACCAGACCCATTGAATCCTTTCTAACTCACAGCAACTCTACAAAATAGAACTTAGCAGCCAGACGACCTAATCACAGTGCCACCAAAGCTAGATGGTTTTCCTTTGATTCCCAGTACTTAGTCCAGTTCCTTCACTGTAATTATACGGCTTAGAACTCTGAGGGGGTTAGTAAATCTTACTGGATTTGAAAATTTATTATGCCACGGCTATGACATTATATACATTGTTGTTACTATGACTCATAGTAATCCTCCGAACAACAGATCTGAATCTCTATCCTGCACCATCCTCACAGCCTCTTCTCTTCAAATGAATTAAAGTTCAACATCAAGAAGACAGAGAAAGAATCTCACCACTGGGCCAAATAGCAGCACCATGATAGATGGAGAAGAGATTGAGGTTGCTAACACTTACAACTTGCTTTTTTCCACAGTCAACACTCTTGGCACCAGCAGTCAGGAAATCAAAAGAGCAGTTGCACTGGGAAAATCTACTGTCAGGGACCTCTCCAGAGTACTGAGAAGCAACAGTGTCTAGAGACTAAGGTGAACCTGATCCAGGCCATGGTCTTCGTCGTTACTTGCTATGCATCAGAGAGCTGGACAGTGACTAAGGATGACCGAAGAAGAATCAATGCCTTTAAATTGTGGTGTTGGAGAAGTGTCTTGAAAACAAATAGGTCTGTTTGGAGAGAGTGAAACCATGTTTCTCATTGGAGGCTATGGTTTTGAAGCTCTGTCACAGATAGTTTGGGCATGTGGCCAGGAGGGACTGGTCCTTGGGGAAGGACATCATTCTTGGAAAGGTGGAGGAATAGTGCAGGAGAGGAAGATCCTGGATGAGATGGATTGATAAAGTAACTGGGGCAATGGGGGGGGAGGGGTATTGTGTGTCAGCGTCAGTAAGATGGGCTCAGGGCAGTGCAAGCTTCAGAGCTATTGCACATAGGGTCGCTATGAGTCCCAGGTGACTCAGTGGCACGTAGCAACATCTTTTCACCATGATGTTTTTTTCTAAGAACTAGCTGCTCCTAAAAATATGCCAAAAGTAAATGAGACAAAAGCCTCTGGGGAGCAGCACTCTGGTTGCACTTTTTTAAGACTGATTTGTTTGTTCTTTGGCAGTCCGTTAGAGTGGCTGGTGGATTGGAAACACCATTTGTTTAGCAGCTCTACTCTATAGACTCCGCCCCTAGAACTCCCTGTATAAACAAAGGAGCATGATATATTCCAACATAAATTTATTCATGAAGTTGAAATTTTGTGTTTTTCAGGTGTTATGAAAGAGGATTCTTTTTATTTATTTTTTTTTCTTCAACTATTTGCTGTTAGTTGTTATGTACTTTCTAATTGGGGCTGACACATAGCTACCCTGCAGGGGCTTTTCAGAGGCAGTAAACTGCACTAGAATAGATTGTCCATCTTTCTCAAGCAGAGCAGCTGGTGGATTTGAACTACACGTCTTTGAGTTAACAGTGCAGCTCTTTACCACTAGGCCAACAAAGTTCCCCATTATTTACAGATACAAATATCATTTATTAGTTTACTAATTGGTCATAGTTACATAGTTACTAATTACTACTGGTCATAGTAAAACAGGTTAAAGGTTATAATTGACCTCTAAACTATAGTTTGCTAATCATTGCGCTAGATCTATTTCCTTTGGGTGAATCTGCTGCAAAGGACACCTTTAAACTCCTAAAGAGTAAGGATGTCACTTTGAAGAGTAAGATATACCTGAAGTCATAGCATTTCTAATTATATCACCTGCCTTTAGAAGTTGGATGGAACATGCACAAGGATGATCAAAGAAGAACTGATGTCTTTGAATTGTATTGGTAAAGAATATTGACCACACCGTGGACTACCAAAAGAACAAACAAATCTGCCTTGGAAGAAGTGCAGCCAGAATAATCCTTGGAAGGCAAGAGTCTTCTTCTCATGTACTTTGGGCATGCTATCAGGAGGCCCCAGTCCCTGCAGAAGGACGTCATACTTAGTAGAGGGTCAGCTCAAAAGAGGAAGACCGTCTGTGAGATGGACTGAGGTAGCGGCTGCAGAGGAGCTTAGGCACAGCAGTGGGTGTTTGTAGGGATGGCAAAGGGGCAGGCTTTGTTTTATTCTGTTGCACAAAGGGTCTTTGGAACTGACCAATAACAGCAGCATTATTATTGAGGATGATCATTTATTGGCCACACTTGGATATAAAAAATACGAAACACTCTTAACAGTAAATTGTTCATGAGGTTAATTTGTCATTACAAAATAGATACAAAATGGCATTTAGATCCCTTTTTTGTTTCTAAAATGTTTAAGAAAATGTGGGTAAAGGAAAGAGGTGAAAAGTGGAAACTTGACATTAAAATCATATTACTTTTAGGTCATTCAAGATTTTGTTTATTTTTTTTTTCAGAGGGGTAAGTTCGGCAGGCGTGAAATCCTAGGGTCTCACAGTTTGGTGACTAGAGGGAAGGTGGGTAAAGGAAATGGGAACGATCCTGCAGGGATCTGGAAAGACAGGGTGGTGATGAGTATGGCTTCATAGTGATTGATTTTATAAAACATTATGAGAATTATTGTATGAAACACAATGTGACTGAAGAATAGTGTGAAACACGGTGTATATGAACTTTGAAAGTAAACCAATGTAAAATATAAAAAAATTAAGGAAAACACATTGTATTTAATGTCTACTTCTAAGCACAATGGCATATAACAGCAACGACTTCTAAAGGTATGTGAACATCTTATATTTCAGTTTTTACTTCCTTTCAGACTTTGATTAATTACTATTGTCAAGAGAGATATTTCCATCATGTACTAACTGTTGCCAGTGAAGGAATGAAGAGATACGGCAGTGACCCAATCTTCAGGTTTTATCATGCCTATGGCATATTAATGGAAGGTATGTGCTAATTATTAAATATGCTTTAGAAATTTTAATTTCTTGCTTTGAGCATAAACTTTTTTCATAATCTTTTTTTTTTAAATTTTCAGGTAAAATACAAGAAGCTCTTCGAGAATTTGAAGCTATTAAAAATAAACAAGATGTTTCACTTTGTTCACTAATTGCACTAATACATGCTCATAAAATGAGTCCTAATCCAGGTACAGTATTTAAGGATAAGATTTAGGACAAATTCTCTTTCTCAGTTCAATTTTTTTTTTTCAGTTATAGCAATATGATCAAAATGTTGTTGTTGTTGTTAGGTTCTGTCAAGTTAAGTACAACTTAAAGCAACCCTCTGAACAACAGACCTGAACCCGGTCCAATCCTATGCCGTCCTTCTCATCTCTGATAACCCTCAAGCCCATTGCGGCAGTCCTGTGTAAATCTATCACAATGGAGGTGTCCCTGTCTTTTGCTGACCCTCCACTATTCTAAGTACGATATTCCCTTGTAAGGAATAGCTTCACATGTCCAATGTATGAGAGCTGAATCTTCACCATCCTTGCCTTCAAGGAGTGCTCCAGCTGCACTTTTTACATGACATAGCTGTTTGTTCTTTTGGCAGTCCAGGTCGATACTCTTTTCCAACTATTTATCTCATAGGCCTTTGTGGCAAGCCTCATTCATCAAGCACAAGGAATATATATCATTCACTCTTATAATATTCTTCATGACACATGTTTTATTAGTACATAGAGATTATCTTCATTGACATACATAGACATATACATAAATTATTCTGCAGCAGCCAACTTTACCACTTATTATGTGAAAATATATATTCATGTACAGCTTTAATCTCATTTACTATAATGTAATGCTTATTGAAGGTCTTTACATCCCCCACACGAGCCAGTTCTTGGAAGATATTCAGATTTTCAGTTGATAATTGGCTGTGAAATATAATTAGGAGGGGTCGATCCTTGGAAAAGGAAATCAAGCTTGGAAAGGTGGAGGGTTAGCAAAGAAGGAAGACCTTCAATGAGATGGGTTGACACGGTGACTTTCACAGTAGGCTCAAGCATATCAGTGAAGATGAGGATACTACAGAAAAAGGCAAAGTTATATTATTCATAGGATCGTTTTGAGTTGTTCTTGATTTATCAGTAGCTAACAGCAACAACTTCTCAATGACACTTAAAAACAACAACAACATAGAGTGAGCTCTGTTGGCCTAGTGGACAGAAAGTGATGCTACCAAGCCAAAGGTGAGTGATTTTAATTTGTGGCCTTCAGGCCTGCTTTTTTAATTATTTTTGTTCAAACATTCTTCTGGGTGGTATAGCCCTGGTCTGTCCATTTGCTGTACAGTGGTAACTCATGGTTGCTGTGATGCTAAATACTGTGACAATGAGGTGTCAAATGCGATAATAGTTACCCATGGTGGACAGTGTTTGGTGGAGCTCCCCTGTTAAAACAAGCTTGGAAGCAGGAGTGGCATTAGCTTCTGAAATAGCTTACCTCCAGAAACTCTATGAACTTGAAGAATTGATGAAAGTTCTACAAGTGTTCAGGTCTTTCGTTCATAAGGTTGCTATGAGTTGTCTACAACTCATCAACACTTAACAACAACAGTAACAACATGGAGACAAGAACCAAATTCCATGCTCTGATATTCCTCTGACAATAATAAACATGAATTTAGAATCAATGTTTTTCTGGTTTTTTTTTTTTTAAGAATCAATTTTGATTTGGTGCCTTTTTCTCCTCCCAGATAAAGAAGCCATTCTGGAATCAGATGCCAGAATGAAGGAACAACGGAAAGGAGCTGGAGAGAAAGCTCTGTATTATGCAGGCTTATTTTTATGGCACATAGGTCGTTATGATAAGGCAAGAGAATATGTTGACAGATTGATCAAAATATCAAATGGTAGTACAGAGGTAACTCGCTTTGTTAATTTGAAATAGTAATATTATAGAAAGTGTCTGTGTTTATGTGTTCAGTAGTCTGTATTCTTTATTATTCACTTTATTGTTTTATAAATAATAGCTTTATTTTGATATTTCATTATATTGAAACTTGTGCTCCATAAGGTTGTTTGTCAAAATCAACTTGATAGCAATGAGTAAGGTTTTGGGGTTTCAGAATACTTTTATTTTTATGCTATTTAATCCTCTTTGCCAGAGGAGAAATGTAGCCAGAGCTGATTCATATCCGACCCTCCATCAGATTTTCAAGGCAAGAGATTGCCCGTCTTTCACTTGAGGAGCAGCTTGTGGATTTGAACCCATTAGACCAGCAGTGACTTAAAAAAATCCTTCCTTTTTTCTGTTTCTTCCTTCTTCCTCCTTTTCACTTCTTGTTTCATTAATTAACTTTTGGAAACACTATTATTTGTACTGTTAATATTACAAAGATAAGGATTATATAAACTCTGCTTTATGACTGCTTTCATGGTTTTCTAGTGGCATAAAACACATATCCAGCTAATGTAATGACAGTATTGTAAGTAGTATGAGAGAAAAATGATGGAAAAGCTAGATAAAGGATAAGTTACAGTTATTCCTCTCAACTGTTTTTGACACTGAAGGAGAGATGATATCTATAGTATCTATCAGGAAGAAGAGAAAAATGTATTGAAGATAGTAGTGTTTGAGGTAAAACCTATTTTTTATTTTTTTTTCTGTATTAATTTTCATAAACATTTACAGAGATTTTGGGTTTCCATTCATTCATTGTTGCACTATTCTCTCTACCCTCCTCCCAGTTTGTTCTTGTC